AAAGGGTACCCTAATCTCTTCTAAGGACTAAACCATCAAGTAGAAATACTTCTAAGGGACATGTAGGGCTTCAAAACATCAAATGACCAAAGGCTTAGGAGATTACGGCCGTAAACTCAATGGTTTATGACCGTAAACTCATTGTGTTATGGTCTTGGGGAGTAAACTCAAGAAAGGGGTTCTTTGGAACCCTAGACCCAATACCTTTGTCCTACAACAACTTAGATGCAATCCTTAGGACTTATAACAATTATATAAGGTGTTTAGCATGTTCTAGGATGTCTTAACATTGGCAATTAATTATTTAAAGACTAATTGGATACATATATGTGTGATTATATGTTAACTAGGATCTTGAGTGTGTACAAGTCTTCACTTGTCACTTAGCAATCCTACATCATTCAGTTCATTCAAACCACCATCTACAGGTGACTTCATACCCCTTAATCAATGTTTTAAATGATTTTAAAATGCTTTAATGGGGTGGGGGGAATACAAGTAGAAAACAACATGCTATAGAATCAATCATATGTGATTCATAACTGTGTTTTCATCCGACTGATTTCACATGCTTCAAAATGTGATGTATGAAATGGTTTCCTATCTTAAAAATACTTTGTTATCAAATGTATTACTTTTGAAATGTTTATTAAAATGAAATCAAGTCACTGTTATTTATTTTTCAAAACTCTTAAATGTCTTACAAAGCCATTTTTGAATTCTTGAACAAAAACTATATCTATACACTTATGTTCTTTTATATATATATATATATATATATATATATATATATATATATGTGTGTGTGTGTGTGTGTGTATGTATGTATTGATATGATAACTTTCATTCTTCATTCAGTTCCCACACTCTTTTGTAGCAAGGGTGTATAAACCTTCTTAGACATCAATTACCTTCCAGTAAACTATTATAGGGATAGTTAGGGGATACAAAATATTATGCCTATTACTAGGAATTACACCACAGTCAGTTCATTCATGAGTCTATACTAAATGCTATATGAAGAGATACACTTACATGGATACATGTACCTTGATACTATATGATGAGATACTATTACATATCATACACGTAGTTTAGTTCTGTCTATCCTAGTACAAAAGGATATCCTACGGGACTAACCATTCTGACACCCACCTGTTAGCAACAGATGTAATGAACATCTACGGATGCCTACGGTTAATACTTATACTAGGGGAACCTTTATGGGACTAACCATTCCTACACCCTGCTGTTAGCTACAGAGGATAATGAACATCTACAAAAGTTCTAGGTTAATACTTTTCGACAGTCGTGATGTCGTGTTTATCCTAATACAAAAGGATAATACTTATATGGCTATATTTTTCCTATTACCTTTATTTTGTAATACATTCACATAATCGATGAGGTAGACTATATATTGTTAAAGAGTAGTCGTAAAAGGGAAAAACCATCTTTGTTACTTTCAAAACATTCGGGTCTTGGTAGAAGACTACTTTTATACTAGTAGGAAATATGGGATTTTCTAGGGTTTTCATAGTTATATCAAATGTTCATTCAAAGATTTACATAGCATTCATAACAGCTTTCCAAAACAGAGTAATGAAACTTAAATACTTATGAATTCACCAACTTTATGCTAATCTACTCTTTCAAAACAACTTGTATTCTCAGGTCACCAGTAGACAGGTACGATGACCAGGTTTTGAGAAGACGGAGCACAGATAAGACTCGTCTTTTATTTTGATTATAGATTTTGGTGTCTTATTACAATGAAAGAACATACATGTATTAAAACTTTACTTTTAATGCAATGGATGATGTTGTTGCTTGTTTACTACTTTACACTGTTATGATACTTCACATGACGTCCTCCACCCCTAAACGTTTCCGCCGTTCTTGGTTTTGGGGTGTGAAATTATCTGATATAAGAAGTTGGGCAAGCTAGTCCCGAGGTTTATTAGTCCTTTAAAATTGATAACCCAAATAGGCAAGGTGGCATACCGATTAGAGCTGCCTGAGGAGTTTAGTCAGATTCATGACACCTTCCATGTTTTGTACTTGAGGATGTTTGTAGCCGATAAGATGGTTGTGGTCCATTTGGAGGACAGTCAAGTCGATGGTCGACTGAATTACAAGAAAATGGAGATGACAATTCTGTATAGGAAGGTGAACACATTAAGTAACAAGGTAATGAATTTAGTCAAAGTTTATTGGCAACATCGGAAAAGCTCTAAGTGGACTTGGGAGCCCGAGGATAGTATGCGAGAGCATTATACTGATCTTTTCGTAGAGGCTAACTTTGAAGAAGAAGTCTGATTCTAGTGGTGGAGAATTGTAACACCCGGTGTTAAGTATTTGCATTTCAATCCTTTATATTTTAAAATTTTGCAAATAAGATCCTTACGTTGGGCGTACCAGGCTTGTACGCCAGGCGTAAGTCATCTTGGAAGTCGTGGAAGAGAAGGAGTATGATGGGCGTACATGTGGGTACGCCGAACATACTCGTGCATACCTTAAACCCTAAATTTTTAGGTTTGTGTCCCCTATTTAAGCATCATAATCGCCTTGGACCTTCTTATGATGAGCCTCTATTTCCTCTAAACACTAAAATCGAAACCCTAGCTCTTGTTAGTGAGATTTGAAGCTTGAGAGTGATTTTTGAGTATTCTTGGTAGTGATGGAAGATCATTCAAGAGGTGGTTTTCCATTTAAGCTTTTGGATACGTAATCTACATCTCTCTATTCATCTTTTAAAGGTATAAAGTTCATACAATTGGAGCTGGTTTCGTTAAATCTTGTTTAGACTTGGATTTAAGTTCATTTTGTTCCAAAAACTTGATCATTGTGAGTATGGAATACTCCAGGGCATATGATCTATGCTTTTAGAAGTTTTATGGTGCTTAGAATCATAAAAATATTAACTTGGTCCTTTTCTTTCTTCTATGCATGAGTTTTGGAGTTTTTGGTGAAGTAAAATGTTAGGGTTTTGGGATTAAGCTCTATGTAGCCATGAAAAGGCATAAAGTAAGATACTTTATGGATTAAGACACCTTTTAGAGTCAGATATGTGGTTTGGGTAAAGTGTCTTAATGAATAAGACCTTTAATGTTGAGTTTTAGGTTTAGCCGAAGTACGTTGTGCGTAACTCTGACTACACTCAATGTAGCTAGTTGCGAACATGAACTTTCCTGACTAACACTCTACGCCTATCATAGAGTTGCATTCGTTGCGCGTACCGTCGCGGGTTGACTTTCATTGACTTTTGACCAATTGTGTCGTAAGTGGATTCATCAGGAATTTGGAAGGGGCAAAACGGTCTTTTGTCCTAAATGTGGATTAGACATGTATTGGGATTAGTAGAGTATGGAAAATTACATTAATTATTAATTAGGGTTAATTGGTGTAACTATTAGACGGAACCTAGTTCCGGCAGTTCTGGTGTGAGTTCTATCAGTAATCTGTTCGATGTGAGTCTCATCACTATTCTTACATGTATATGATGACTAGCTGGTCTATGTGTTATTACTGTCATATGTGCTACTGTGTGTGTTGAGAGTTCGGGTAGTCTTTAGGATTGCTGATAACCCACAAGGGGTGTTGTTTGGTCATTGAGACTTCAGGTAGTCTCTACGGTTGCTAATAACCCATAGCTATTTATTTTGTGTTGTGTTGTATGTGGTATTTTGGGGAAATTACTATGCTTCGTGCACATAATTTTTGATATGTGTTTCAGGTACTTTTGAGGATCGTGAGAAGGTGAATTCTTAATTGTACATATTCGCATGTATGATTCTGCTTATTTTGGGTCACTCTGATATTTGAGGATGATATGTATTTGACATTTGTGATTTTATTGAGATGGTTTTATATGAACAATTTTTTTATATGAATTTAAAAATGAAAATATGGTTTGAAAATTTGGATGTTATAAAAGATAAGGGGAAGAAAAAAACGTTGAAGGGATACGGTTGATACCCTGTGATAATGATAAACCATAATGATTTTGGTGATCTAATAAGGGAAATGAATAGAAGATACAAACGATGTACAAGGAAGATACAAGAAATGTACAAGTAAATACAACTCAAGAACAACTAAGGTACAATTGGAGATATTATCTAACACAAACACTATGAGATAACATCATGAAAAAGTTCAATGGCTATCAGAATTTTTAATAGAAAATAGAAAACTTTTTCACCCATAAATAAATGTCACAAATTAGGTTTCATAATAAATGATTATGTTCTTTTATTGAACTTTGTAGAGTTAAAAAAAATACATTTTCATTAAAGTTTGTGGAGTTCAATGCATCATAAGATAAAAAATGACAGAGTTGTATGAAAAGTTAAATTATGATATGGGAACTCATTAAACTTTAAAGTGTTCAATATATTTTCTCTATCCTTATTCAAAAAAAAAAAACATTTATGCAAGTATATGAATGACGGAGCTTGAAATTCAAGTAACACTCACAATTTTATTTCAAGATAAAGAGAGAAGTCGTTATGCTTATGTAATTCTTATGCTTATGTAATCAGTAGGATCACTACCTTTTGTAGTGAAGTGTGGTTGCCCAAACAACTTGATTGGATAAATTATGATAAGGAATAAGTGGATGATCATGTTCTACTTATTGCTTTTTGTTTTGTTCTTCAACAAAAATATCTAGTGAGTGCTTCCAATTGAATGAGACGTTGAACCTAAAAGAATCATTGTAGTAGTTCCAACTTCATAGTTTTGTCCAACGAATTTGTAGAAGTATCTCATATTATTTGATTCGGGTTTTAATAATATAAAAATATAAAATCCATTAATTTCACATGTCGATCTAATGAGTTGTCAATACAACATTAATCACAAATTCACACATAGACTACCATTTCCCCGCTTCAAAGTTTTGTCCAACAAATTTGTAGAAATATCTCATATTCTTTGATTCGGATTTTAATAATATAAAAATATAAAATCCATTAATTTCACAGGTCGATCTAATGAGTTGTCAATACAACATTAATCACAAATTCACACATAGACTACGATTTCCCTGCTTCAAAGTTTTGTCCAACAAATTTGTAGAAGTATCTCATATTCTTTAATTTGAGTTTTAATAATATAAAAATATAAAATCCATTAATTTCACATGTCGATCTAATGAGTTGTCAATACAACATTAATCAAAAATTCACAGATAGACTGCTATTTCCCCGCTTCTAAGTTTTATCCAACAAATTTGTAAAAGTATCTAATATTCTTTGATTCGGGTTTTAATAATATAAAAATATTAAATCCATTAATTTCAAATGTCGATCTAATGAGTTGTCAATACAACATTAATCACAAATTCACACATATACTACCATTTCCCGGCTTCAAATGATCCAAAACCACCCAAGCACAGAACCAGAAACCAACCCCAATACCAAGAACAAAGCCATCACAATCGCTGCCATTTCCGATTCCGAAGGTGGCACTGATTTAGGTGCCATAATCATAATCACACTTGTCAGATACCCATTGGTAAACCCCAAAACAACAGTCAATAACACCACAAACACTTCATTTTTAGCCCATTTAGGTCCATGTAAACACGCTGTAAAAAGTGGATACAACAACAACCTCGCCATACATCCCCATGTAGCTTTAGCAATGCTCTTGATAACAATAATCGCCGTGAGCAATTTCCCTAAAAAATCTGAAATATTGTAAATTGTGATCAAGATTATCGGGTACCAGTCTTTGAGGAGGGTTGACTCAATGTCTTCTGCTAAGAATCCTGGAAAAATTGATAGAGTTACGGTGTATATGATGAATATTCCTATTGCGGGCCATTGAATCGTTCTTGCTACTTTCCAGAATTTAATGGTGGAATTGGAAGTTGTTTGTTGGAGGGATTTATAATGGTGTTCCATGACTGGTAACTTGTATAGTAGATGACAGAAAACCATGCACACTAGTAGAATGAGTGTACTGACTAGGAAATATAAATGTGCACTTTTCTTGAGCCCTTGTGGATCATTGGGGAGTGATGCCTTTGTTATAATTCGCAAAAAGGAGACCAAAATTCCTGAGAGATTAAAGATTCTAATTGTTAGCGAATGTTATAGATGATAGTAAGTCATTCATGTAAACATATATTTAAAATAAAGCAATAGTATTTTTAAGGCTAATCACAAAAATGACTAAAATTGGAATTGTCAAATCAAAAATTGAACATTTATCACCAAATAATTAAGAACTTATTTTGCGAAATACTTTATTTATATGAAATTGCTTCTTTTAAAGATTTTTCGGTGGTAAAGTTATGATAAATGTTTAAAAGTTGGTCCTTTAGTAATATGATCTTTTCTCTTATTTTTCTATAACATTATGTCATTGAAGTATATTTATTAGAGATAACACTAATAATTAATTACTCGAAACTGTGGTCATCTCCTTTTTGTAGCATTATTTTAACACAATAAATAGTACACAAGTCGCTTTAATACCTTTAACATTATTTTATAGAAAGTCTTTCATACTATTATAGGACTATTTTCACATAATAAGCATAGTTAAAATACTAAAAACGTTGTTTATTGATGTATACTCTGAGTTTAAGCACCAAAACCAACTGATAAGCACACTAAGTAAATTCACCCTCGATCACCTCTTGTTGAGAGCAAGCCCATGCTATTGATAATAGGTCGTCATGTTATTGTAGCATTATTTTCACATGCTAAAAAGACTTAAAATAGTTCAAAACTAATTTTAATCTAAGCTTTAATGATTTCTACATATCTTTCTAGTAAAAATCTTAAAAAATTACCCTTTTCTTACCTGATGAAGCCGTTCCAGCAAAAACAGCCTGCATGTATCGTTTGGGCAAATTTCCAGCGGACCCCACAAGACTCCCTCCAATCAACCCATCGGCTAACCCACACATCACAACTGATGCAACCACTGTGTAAAATGTTGCATTTGACCTCTCATTCGGTTGAGTTTTCCATGCCCAATCTATGGTTGGAGTTACCATGAGGGACACAACAAACATTATAAATCCCATATTCATTCTCACTTGAAAGGTGATTAATCTGCTGAATTTACTGCTACTAATCATAATAATTAAAACTAAAAGTGATGAACTCATATAAGCTACCGAAAACACTTTTTCCACGTGTTTTTGTGGGTAAAGATGACCGAAGTAATCAATGGCTGTGATTAAAGCATTCCATGGAAGTAGATTGCCTGCACCAAGTAAGAAGTGGATTATATAAGCTATCTTGTAGGTATCTTTTGGCTCATGTTGATCGGGGTTGCTCTTAAAATTCTCCATTTTGGGATCTTTTGTGTTCTTAATTGGCTTTGTGGTTTAGAACTAGACATTATATAAGCAGCATGCAAAGACCCTTGGAAAGATTTTTTGGTGGTGAAACCAAAGAAAAAAGAAGGAAATCTTCAAAGGTTGGCTTAAAAGGTAAAAAGAAAGATTCTTTGCTATTCTTTATTTCTCGATCGCTGGAAATCCGCCTTTAATTCGAGGTGATGTGAATTGTAAAATCTATCTTTTTGTTATATGGTGTCTTGTAGTTTGTTTCTATGGCACAATCCATCAATGTCTTACTAAAAAGCGAACAAAAGGAAATTCCCCTTTTGTTTATTGACTTATTTTGGATCTTTTAGTTTATGTTAGAAATAAGGGGAGAGGAAAAATGGCTAATAGATAATCATAGTTCCTCAATATCTTATTCTGTGAACAGTTTCACTTTCCTTAAAGTATAATTTGGCCCTGGTGTGTTCAAATTCGTAGGAGAGCCAATATAGTGCTATATATATCTCTAGTATATACACCTATAGTACCCATGAAATGGATAAAAAGGACGAAATGACATTTTTACATAAGTTACAAACAATTATATTTAGAAGATGCCTCACCTTCTAAAATCTTTAGAAGGCAAGTAACCATTTGTAGAAGATGGGCAAAAATGCCCATCAAGCATACCAAAAGATCATACTTCACAAGGTTCTTAAAATGCTCCATATGGACACATTGTTCCTTAGTCAAATTTAGTGCAATCAAACTAATCTTATACAAGAATGCATTCCGCAAAACCTCACTATACTACATCATAGTCATAATTAACTCATTATGTGACACTAGTATATATTCCAATTATACTAAATTGTCAGATGACACTAAAATCAGGAATGGTTGTTATACAAGAAATTGTTGGGAGTTTATGATACAAGATAATAGATCATGTGCCACGTTGGGATGTAAACGGATGGTAATTAACAAACAATTTGCTGTCTTTATTTTTATATATTCTACTGTTAAAAACACATGTCGTTTTGATCCCTTTTAATGATACTCCACGAATCTTGTTGGTTTTACGGACGGATAATATAACACCTTGAAGTCTATATGGTCCATTCCTTAGCTTCTTATAAAATATTCCCCATATATTCTTATTTTCACCTTTAACTTTTACTCTGTTTAAACACAATTTGTCTTTAATACTTTGTGTTTTTGTTTTGTTTTGGGAGTTGTAGAACATTGTAGAGGTGGGACTAAAAGTTTTTATGATGATAGGTGAGTATTAAAAGGTGAAGTTTAGAGAGGAAATAAGGTGTGAAGTGAACATCACCATCAGAATAGTGGGAAGAAATAGCTGTTGGTATGAACTAAAAGCATTTTGTGGATTCATGGACCATTGGGTTTTTGTAGAACTTGATTCTTTTAATCCCTGTACATTTCTTTTTCTTTTTATTATATGGTTCTAGGCTACTCCCTGTCATTTCACCTTTCAATTTCTGTAGGTAACACGTCAAAAATACGAATCCTTGTGGGGGCATTCTTCAAGTATTGATCTTAGAAAAAGAGTGAATTCCTTGTACTGACTTTGTGAATGATCCATAATTCTTGTGAAATTTAGAAAACAGGTATATAGACGGAAGAAAAATTCAAGTTCTTGCTGTTTAGAAAGGAAGCGTGTAAAGATTTAGGAGTCTCACAAGATTTGCTATCCATATTTATGCCAATTATGTTTTATTTTAATTTTTTTTTCTGGTTTATATTTGATCATTTAACTTGTTTTTTTTTGTTTTTTTATATGTCAATCATTATAACTGTGATTCCAGGTTAAATCGAAAAAAATAACTTAATAGGGTAATATAAGTTTCAATTTATACACATTTAGATGATGTTTTTTTTTAAACGAAAATTCATAAAGTTTGCACATCACTTCTTCAATCCTCTACAGGAGAAGAGGGGACCAAACGGCTGCAAACTAAAGCGTGTTTATTTTTTAACATCTGCAGGCTGTTGCGGATATAAAAAATATTAAAATAAACTGATTTTATAAACCAAAAATAGTTTTTTCAATGCCCAAAAATTTAACAGTCTTAATAGATTGAAATAAAAATCCGTACAACCAAATTACTCCTACAATAACAGTTTCAAATAAAATTCATAGAACCAAACTTTAATAAATCTCATTCCATATTTTACATCAACTGCTCGACAATTTCATCTGGGTCATAAATTCACGGTCCGCTGGAGTTTCATGTGTTGGAATCTCATCTTCATCATCATCAACGGCCACACTGTTATTCCGAACCGAAACATTTGGTGTATCATATCGTGAAAAATACTCATCACGTAGTCTCTCTCTTCTTATAAAATTATGAAGCATGAAACATACAAAGGTAATGTTTCGTTGTGTGAACACGAGGATGGTGTCATCTTTTTGAATATAGGGAATCATGCTTTCAAGACACCAAAAACACACTTAATGATGTTCGAAAGTTTTGCATGTGGATGGTTAACTTTTTTATTGGTTAATGCACGCCTTTGATGCGAATCTCCAAGCCAATACCTCACATTACGATACGATGCCATAAAACCTCGAATGTTTGCATAGGCGGCATCACAAATATAATATTCATTTGTAAAAATGCAAAATAATAATAATAATAATAATAATAATAATAATAATAATAATAATAAAATCATTCCCTTTTCAAACGAAGATAAAACTATATAAATAACCATAAACTTACCTAATGTTCGAAACCAGAATGGTGCATGAAGATTTGATAATTCTCATATAATATTCTAGATTCCCAACTGGCCAAAACAAACATAAACATCATGTTGAAGTCACAAATTGCAAATATATTTTGGTAACAATCGTTTTTTCCCCTACTTCTATATAAATCTAGTTTGTTTGCATGGATAATAGAATGTATCAAATTGTCATCAAGTGCACCAATTGCTCCTTTGAAAACCCGTCGTATGCTCCTAATATGTCCCACAATGTTTGGATTCAGATTAAAAGAAGTTGGTACTATCATGTCATGTGAGAAAATCAACATTTTGTCCAAAACTTCATGAAAAACTTTATAAATCACCAGCTTTGAGTGTTGAAATCTTTGCTTAATAATCATGTAACGTTGGTTATGACCGATCATCAAAAAAAAACATAGTTATCTTTTCCTCAACTGACATGTGTTTGCTATCCTTTAATGTGTAATTTAATCTAAAATGAGCACATAGTTGAACAAATGATTCATGGGACATGCGTAGTACTTTAACACATTGTATAGGATTACGATGAAGTAACTCTAACTTGAATTCATGTCTTGTCATTTCTGAATCATTGTCTAGCACTCGTTTCACACCCCTCTTCCAAAAGTAGCGGAGGTACAAGTACATTAGAATTATGAGATGTATCTTTTTGTCGTGATCTATTAGGAACTTATTAATCAACACAAGTACCAAATAACATAACATAAAATTTAAGTACCAAATAACATAATATAAAATTCAAGTACCAAATAAGATAACATAAAAGTCAAGTACCATAAATAACATTCAAGTAAAACAACAAAAAACATAACCACGTAGTGCCAACACATGCAAATAAAACCTACACATCACAAATATGTAAACCTAACAGACAATCTTTCCATCCTCTAAAACTGCTAAACTTGTAGCAGTCAGCTCGATCCTTCCTCTTAATATCTATGGATTATTGGGCAAAGTTACCCACATCTCTCTTATGTTCATGGTCCCTCCAAAATTTTGATAAAAAGCAAATCGTAGAGGGTTTACTAGGCCTAACTCGAGTAACTCAAAATTCTTTAAACATTGAGGAATTATATGCCCTTGAGTGAATTGTTGTAGAGCTTTTTGCATCTCCAGTTCTCAATCATCAGCAATAAACGAAGCTTTAGGTGAGGAACTAGAAGGTGAAGCATGTGAGGCACTAGTAGCTCGAGGTCTAGGAGTTGAGGGTTTAGCCCTTTTTGTTCAAGTTAGCAGAAGGTGAAGCAGAAGAAAGTGAAGCAACAGAAGGTGGTGACTAAGTAAAAGGTTCACTAGTATGACGGGAAAAGTAATGATCCTCATCTATGTTAATAGAAAGGGTGTCCATAAGTTGTAGTGGTGCGACATGACAAGGAGATAATCCATGTCCCAATGATGTTTGGGATGTGGCATAGTTGAGATTACCAAAGGAACTATTTCTATCAAAGAGTTCTCACAAAGCTCTAGAAACAACAATGGGATGGTTTTCAAAGAAGCGGTTTTCGGATGTCCCAAAACCCAATCAATGTAACAAAAGTTGTATAGGAATATTTGCCAACTATACATACAAATGTGTATGTCTATATATATATATATATATATATATATATATATATATATATATATATATATATATATGTGTGTGTGTGTGTGTGTGTATGTGTATATATATATATATATATATATATATATATATATATGTATATATATTTTTTTTAAAATCCTCTCACTCATCATTTGTTATGCTAAAAGTGTTAGAGGATTGTAAAGGCTACCAGTTTTCTTTTTTTAAGTATAACCACTCTGTACATTTGTCTTTAAGATTTCCATAGGCAATTTTCAATTCTCTTCGAGTAAAATCAACCCCATAGGCAATTTTCAATTCTCTTCGAGTAAAATCAACCCCATACTTTTCCTTAATGGTCGTTCCTAACTTTTTCCATGAATGTTTATGCAAAATCAAATCTTTTGTACCTACGATGTGTACTTCTTCAATACAAGTGTGCAATAAAAAATTTATCTGCTCACTGCTATTAACAAAAAGAAACATATGAAATACATATTTTAGAAAACATAACCTTATAACAACAACTTTGAGCATAACAACTACTTCTATTGATTGCACTAACGAATTTCAGCAAAGATTATTCACACTTCAGCAACAATTATGACAATTCAGCAACATTTTATGACATTTCAACTACATTTAATGATACTTCAGCAACAATTCATGACAAGTTCAACAACAATTCATGACATTTTAACAACATTTTATGATATTCAACATCCATTAATGACGTTTCAGTAACAATTCAGGATATTTTAGCAACATTTCAGCAATTTCTACAATGATTCAACAACATTTCAACATAATATGACATGTAAGCATAAATTTATGACATTTTAACAGAATAAAAAATAACATCATCAAATATTTGATAACATTAACAGCAAGATTCATCAAAAACAAAGACATCAGCATTGATTCAACAAGAAAAATCAAAAAATTAAGATGAAGCAGGAAAGTCGAAGTTGCTCCAGCAAGAAAAAAAACAAAAAATTCAAGATTAACCATGGAAGAATTGTTTCTTCAATAACACTAAACTAAAAAAAATAAAAATAAAACTTACCGAGATGAAATATCGATAACGAAGACTAGAAGGAGAGTACGATGGGGAGATGATTATGTGGGAGAGGAGGGAACGCCGGTGGGAAGGAAGTTGTACCGACGAAGGGATGATTACAGATGCAAGATCGGTGATGATGACAAATTGGGAGAAAAAAAAATGCAACGCTTTTCTTCAAGATGGTGTATCCAATTTTTTTTAGGTTTAGGTTTAAAGAGGCTAGAAGAGGGAACTCAAGTGTCGTCTGAAACAGAACACACACATAACTTTTTTACTTCAAAGCCTAGGAAAAAACAAACTGGTGCATGATAAAAAGTGATGCGAGTGTGCTAGGCCACACAACCAAAAGTGGTTTGAAGAAGTTTTTTTACGAAAGACAAACAACACTTTAGTCATCTAAATGTTTTTGTACATATTTAGTTCTTATGACCGGTTTCTTTAGGATTTTCTCATGACATCCTACATGGGACAATCATGTATAAGGTGTTCTCATACATGAACCATCCTCACTTATATAGGTAAATTACTTCAAAAATCGGTCAAATAATGTGGGTACCCTAGTTTTCTCCAAAAAAAAAGATGTTTTTGCCTTCGGTTTCATCTATCTCTATAGCTGCCAACAAGAATTTTTGTGATTGCTTCTTCTCAACTCGGATTTACACTTCCAAGACAAAAGAACACTCTAACAAAAAATCGAGAGAATTTGCTAATTCATACATGGGTCAAGTATAAAGATTAAATACATTACCCTAATAAGTTATTTCTTCTGGTTTAACCTGGAGTAGCTAATTATAAGGATTGAATGTGTATAAAAAACAAGTTAAATGGTCATTTATATCAAAAAAATACAATGACTATATGTCTACAAAATAAAAAAATATATGCCATATTAAGTCATTCTCCCTTAATTTTACTACCATAAAACGTAGTTATATCATATACAAGAGAGAACAGATAATTTCGTATCAATTTGTATATAAAACAGATAGTTTTTTTTTTCTAAACAAAATAGACGTGATAAGGTTATTCGATCCTCAAATTGGAAGTAGTGTTGAAAATATGTCTATACATGAATATAAAAGCTCAGTTTTTGTACTAACTACTATATATATAACAATATAAGTTAGTGGGATTTATACTCAAAGATTGAATCGTAAAAGGGAAATGGTATAATTTGAATTTCTTTCTATCTCTCGTATTCGTTAGTAATGTCATAATCTTTTTTATTACACTTTAAAGTTATACTTTTTTAATTTTTCTGATCACAATAGTGAAGAACATAGTTTGCTTTGTAAAGCTATGACATCCCCATTTTCACGATCAAAAAAGACCGATTTGTTTATGCTTTGTTTTATTAATCAGAGTATTTGTTTAAAGAAAACGGTTGCGGAATTTGTTGCCAAAACAAAATATGATAAGAATTTATCAAAGTATTTCTTTAAAGAAATGTA